GTGAATTTATTTTAACAGTAAATGGTTGTTAACCATGTACCTATTAGTGTCTGAAGGAAAAAGTGCAGGAAACGTTAAGGGGCCTGATAGGAAGTAGGTACTGAGATAAAGGGGAGGATGCACGAAGGTGAAAGAGAAGGGAGGCCCAAGGAGCCGTAGTTCTTAGAACTTGCCACTGGACTCAACTGTGTTTGGCTTTATTTGGGCTAGGACAAATAGAAGTCATAACCTGAAGTAGTTGTATCACTTAGTTGGATTTCACAAAGAGCTGTGCTTTCCAAGATTGTGGAAGATTAAAGAAAAAAATTGATGTTTTATTCTCAGAAGAATGAATCATTAACTTGGAATATCAGGTGGCCTATCACTTATTATTTCCTGATATTGACAGTGATTTAAACTAGGGCACATTTTATTTCTATCTGTTTCTGTTACCTTTTGTCTTACCATTCACTAGACGGCTCTTTTTTCCCCCCCTTCAGTAAAACACTTTATGTGTCCTGCTTATTTACAATTTTCCTCCCACTGGAGAGGCCCCATTGACATAAAACAGTGATTTAAAAAAAACATATACAGTACTATTACATAAAAATGAAATTTTCTTTTACATTTGTTTGCCTCTTGATTGATTCTGCCTATTTTCATTTACTTCTACTTTTTGTTACTGATTTGTTTGTTTAGTTAAATTTTGTATGTTTATTGAATTACACAACTCCAATAAATACATGCCAATTAAAATTCAAATTCTCAATTTACTTCAATCTCTGTAAAACATTAAAGACTTAGAACTCTTAGAATATAGGTTTTGTTGTTTTTAGAGCAAAAATAGTAGGTTTGGGGATTCTTAAATGTGATTTATTATACCATTTCCAGGTGAAGCCTGCCTTTGCAATTATAATGGTGGTAATTTTGGATGAAGTTGGTTCATTCAAAAAGTATAATGTAAAATTCACCTTTCTAAGAACATATAATACAAAATAGGACAAATTGAATTTAATAGGAATAGTAAATAATATTAACTTTAAAATATGCTCTACCTAAGTGGCAAATTATTTAAAAGAAGTATATGGCCTTTATCATCCCCCACCCCCTTTTTTTGGTAACCAGTCTGCTCATCAAAGCTCTGGAAAACTGAATTATAAGTCCCAAAGAATAAGCAACTAAAATTCTCCTTACAGTCGGTGCATTTTTCTAAAGCATTTTTGATGAGAGAACCTAAAAGAAAAGGAGTAATGCTTTAATAACAGGAATGATGCTTTAATAATGGAGGCACAGTATTCTGTTTTACGTTCACATTTCCTGGATACTTTTTTTGACTAGTTGGTACATGGCGGTAAGGATTGGGACTGAAGGAACTTGATCCTAGTCTCAACCCTGTAACTGATTCATTGTATTACCCAGTAGAGAAAGAGAGAAATTATATAATCTCTGCTTCAATCCCTCATCTGTAAAATGAAAAGTGAGCTTCGAAAGCAAGGAGCCTGGTGTTTGTAAACCCTGCAGCACACAGTTTCCAGTTTTGTTAGATGCAGCCTGAAATATCTAAACTATTGACAGGCTGATGTTGGTTCTATCAAAAGATAAATACTCATGGAGACTTCCCTGGCCGGTGTAGCTCAGTTGGTTGGAGCATCGTCCCATACACCAAAAAGTGTCAGGTTTGATTCCTGGTCAGGGCACATACCCAGGTTGCGGGGTTTGATCCCTGGTCAGGGCGCATGCACGAGGCAACTGGTTGATGTTTCTCTCCCCCCTCCCATCCCAAATCAATTAAAAAAACCCAAACTCATAGGATCTAATAATCTTGGCCCTGTTATTTAACATCCTGCAGCTTCAGTTTTCGTTCCTGTCAAATTTGGGTAATAATGCCTAAATCCTGCCTTTTAAAAAAAAATTAGTCCTTGCCCAGCCAGTGTGGATCTGCAGTTTAGCATCAGCCCATGAACCTGGAGGTCATGGTTAGATTCTCTGTCAGGGCACATGCCTGGGTTGAGGGCTCAGTCCCCAAGAGGGTGTTCAGGAGGCAGCTGATCGTTGATTCTCTCTCATCATTGATGTTTCTATCTCTCTCCCTCTCCCTTTCTCTTTCTGAAATCAATAAAAAAAAAACTAAAAAAAATTAATCCTTACCTGAGGATATGTTTGTGGTTTTTTAAAAATTGATTTTGAAAGAGAGAGGAAGGGAGAGAGAAACATCGATATAAGAGAGAAACATCAATTGATTGCCTCCCACATGCACCCTGACTGCATTTTAATGCCATATATGTATATGCGTTATATATATAATATATATTATACATGCAATTTATAATAATATGGTATTAGTGTACAAAAGTAGAGTATTGAAGCTAATGTTTATTATTGTAGTCATTAGGATGTTTTCATTATTTTCTGCTGGTTACCAGACAACAGTTTGCTCTTCAAGGCCAATAGAATAATTTTCATAAGTGTTCTATAGGGCCCTTGCCTATAGTGTTCTGAAACTAAACAGCTAAGGAGTAGTTTGTACCATACTCCTATCACCTCCTCGAAATGTAGGCTCCTATTTATTTTCTCTAGTTCTAATCTCCAAATTGTTTAACCTTTTATCTCTACTGATCTTTTCATTGCTGATCTTCCTTCTAACTGTACTCTATTCTACTTTTTAGAAATTATCTGAGCTTACCAGTATCTTCCTTCTTACAAAATGATTTTTCTACATCGGTGATATCATTGAATCCTTGTTTCCCCATCCCAACTAATAACCACACACTCGTGCACCTACACCCAGTCAGTTTTTTGTAGTGGTCTCTTGTAGAAATAACACATTATTTCACATCACTATTCCCTTTCAGATTTTTATACATCTTTTTTTGTTGTTGTCCTAATTTCGATGGGTAGCATCCCTAGTACAATATTAAATAATTTGATATAATGTACATGTATGCCTTGTTCCTAAATATTTTTTTTGTCAAAATAAAGTATCAATGACCTACATTAAAGAAAGAATATTTTGTATAAAATGTGTATAGTCATATTCATTGAATATAAGATATCGCTGATTGTAAGATGCACCTCCATTTTACAGACTAATAAAAAACATTCATCATAAGATACCATCAAGTGTAAGATTTATTACTATTTCATAAATGTTAAAATATGAAGAAAAATGTAACAGGATCAATGAGATATGGCATGTATAGTAGATACTGTTTTTAGTCTTACTAAATTTTTTGTTAATATTTCCATGTATTCTTGCTTGCTTGATAGAAACTTCAAATTTTCTTACTTTCATAGTTTCTGTGAGCTGTATCTAAGTTACTTTTTGCTTCATTGCATATATTGTGCAAACGTAAGAGATATTTTTTTCTAGATCTAATTCTTTCCAATTGTTTAATGTGTTTATGATTACATAACTTGATCTATACTCCCAAATTCCCACTGTGACACAAAGATGCAGCATCATTTGAATATTTGAGATGGAAAACATTTTTTCATTTTTCAGGAAGAATAAGCTATCCTGCAAGTTTCTGAACTCTTCTCCCACTACACACAATTATATATTAGCTCTACTCATACTAACTTCATGCTAGGATGTTTCATGATATAGTAGAGTCCTCTGACTTTCTACTGTCAGTTTACTTTATACAAACTTTCTTATCTCATATACTTTAAAAAAATATTTTAAAATTATAGTTGACATATAATATTTTATTAGTATCTGATACACTTTTGAAGCTTGTGTTTATTTTACCTTAGCCTCTTTTTTTTCTAGAGCTAAATAACAAAAGAACCCTTTAATTCTTTTTTGGTTTACTATTCCCTTATATTTTCCAGCCCCCTGTTACTCACTTTCTCATTGTCTCTAGAAGAATGACTTAGAAAATCTCGTTTACTTTGAGAGAATACTTACGTTGAGGTGGGGTGGAGTAGAGATCCATAAGTGAGTGTATATTAGTATTTCGTATTCCTTAAAGCTCTCAGTTGGTAGAAAAATCACTATTTTTTTATTTGAAGGAAAATAAATTCTGTGTACCCTTCAGGGCTACAGCTCAGGGTCAGCATCCAGTAATCTGTTAAACCTGGATTGTCTTCTCTAGGATGTGGGTGTGTATGTCCAGGAAACCAGAAAAATAAAAGGACTTATAAAAGCTGATTTTACTACCAATTAAAACATTTTAAGGAACTCAAGCTCTATGTAAATGGTGTAAAATAATAATAGAATAATGTTTTGTTTATAAATGTTAATTTAGTTTCTAATGTAATAGACTTTCCAGGAAGTACTGTTTGGCTAGTCTTTACTCATAGATGAGACTGAAATGTAATTAAACTGGTTGAAGTGATTATCAAATACTCTTGGGGTTTATAGATTTTAGGGAGAAGGTTCTATGAACTCCTGAACATGTATGTAAAATTTGGCCATTGGGCAGGTGTGTTTTTTTTTGTTTTTTTTGTTAGGGAGAGTATGCATAGCTTTAAGCAGAATCTCAAAGACGTTACTAACTCAAAAAAAATTAATACACTTCTGTAGACTTCTGACCTAGAACTCACTATTTCTCTTTTATCTGTTTTCCATGATGATCTTGATTGTAAATCATGACACCCCAGAGTATTTTGAAGCTCAAAACAAAGAAAATTTGATCTTGAGTTGTTACTTATAAATGGTAGCATTGTTCAAGTGGTATATTTAAAACAATAATAATTACTGCACATGAACTACCCCCAGGAATTCACTTTTAGGAAATAGTGAGTATAAATGAAGATGGTATTGTATGTATGCACAGAAAAAGGCATTAGAAAACTGTGGATCCATATATGTTGAAAGAAATGTGAAGGATTAGAAATAAGTTTTTATTTTGAACACGAGGAATTTTATAATTGTGATTTAAATTATTTTTCTGGAAATAATAAATGTTACCTGGTATTTGTATATATATGTGTACATATGTATATATGTATGTGTGTATAGGAATTACTTTTTAATGTTCATGTGAATAATGAAAATACTTGATTATTTTTTATAGTGCATGCAGGATATGGGAAATACTAAAGCAAGACTACTCTATGAAGCCAATCTTCCAGAGAACTTTCGAAGACCACAGACGGATCAGTATCCTTTAATATTTTTTTATTGTGAGTTTGTAAAGAATTAATTCATTCTTACAGTTCATATTTTAACTGTTTAGGAAGATGTGAAAAGATGTGAACTTTATCATACTGTTGTTCATTGAAGATACAACTTGATTTGCCCTAGGCTGTGCTTTGTATGTAGTCGATTTTTGTTAGAAATCTGGTAATACATGATCTATGTAGTATTTTTTTCTCTAATTATTACTAAGTATAAAACATTATACCTATTCTTCCTGATTGATCTCCAACTCTTTTTTTTTCATTAAAAGTTTTTAAAAATTTATTTATTGATTTTTAGGGAGGGAGGGAGAGGGGATGAGAGAGAGGGTGAGAGAGAGAGAGAGGAAAGAAAGATCGATTTGTTGTTCCACTTATTTTTGCATTTAAGTGGTTGATTCTTGTATGTGCCCTCACTGGAGATCGAAGTGGCATATTGGGATGACTTTTTAACCAGCTGAGCTACTTGGCCACGGCTATGATCTGCAACTCTTGATTAGACAGTTTATTTTAGATTGTTTATTAGAGATTTGATTTGTGAGTATCTTGAGTATTTAAAAAAATCTTTTCCAAAGGGATTTTCTTCACTATTTATGTGAAGTAGTTTGGCAGGCATGCATTTAGATGGCAGATTACATGTTTAGTGGAAGCACTGAAGTAATTTATGCGAATATTCACTACTGACATTCCATCTTTGCATAGGTTGCACAACTGTGTTTACTTTACAAATCTGCTCTACCGAATGAATAGAATATTTTCTCACAGGTATTTTAGTTAGGATGTTGTTCACATTTGTTGAAGGTAAACATTTGATCCTATAGGATTTCTCTAACTAATATTGAAGTTTAAGAAAGTAGCTCATCAAAATCGTCCTGCTATAAATAAGATTATCTAATTCATTGTAGGTATTTGTGATTCTATCCAAAGGTGACATTTGCACTTTTGGCAATAAAATGTAGTTTCTTAAAGATCAGTCGTTTGTTACCCATTTGTGAACCAAAACGGTTTGTGTGGTTAAAACAGTGAAAAAAAAGATATTTTCTCACATGAGATACAGGTCATTATATATATTTTCATATTTATGTAGAAACCTCTTAAGTTATAGTAAAAAAATTAGTATTTGAATTGTTCTGTTTCTGTTTCTGCTTCCCCACCTCCTTCCCTCAAATTTAGCAATCTGGTATCCAAGGCTATTTTTATTATAGCAAGATCCTAGGGTAAGAATGGGAGGTATATTTCAGACATAAAAATTGTGTGAGAAGTATTAAAGTGTGAGGAAACATGAAACTTTAAGGTTTTGATGTGACAGGATTTAAGTTTTATGGGTTAAGTGACAGTAGAAGCTTATTTTCCAAATTATGAAGGGTTTTTTTAATACTGTGTAGACCAGTTTAGACCTCATTTCATTGGCCCAAAGGGTTGAAGGGTTTGAAAAATCTTGAAGGGTTTTGAAGCAGGAGAAACATTGCAAACATTAGCTTCTCCACAAGGAAGATTAGTTGAAGGAGATCTTGGAGTCAGAGAGACCATACAGAATATACTAGGATAGCCCTGAGTATTAAAGAAGGCATAAATTGAATAGTGACATTGAGAATGGAGAAGCAGGCAGTTGGGAAGATCAGAAAGAAATTTGGGAAAGCAGGAGCAGTTGGATTAGCTTTAGATTGGCTTTGTTTCTAAGAAAAACACTAGATGACCCCAGATTTTCTAGCTTCACTGAGGTTCTGTGGAATTCAGTACCAGATGAAAGTTTAAGAGTTAGAAATGAAAGATAATGAGCCATGCTTCATTACTTTGGGCAGGTTGAGGTGTGAGTTGGACACATATTTAGAGATACCCATTTAGTAGCTGGAAACGAGTCTGTACCCTAGAAAAAGAAGAATGCTTGATTTTTCAAACTAAATGTGACTACTTCTAAAGCATTTACAAATTATGGTCATATTTATATGAGGTATTGGCCTCTTACTGTTCACAAAAAGATAATTTAAGAGAAACTGCTGAAAGAGGGATTTTGTCTAAACAAATTTGAAATAGATGACTACTAATTATAACAGTATAAGATGATACCTCTTGGACCATGAGACTGGCCTCTATATCTAGTGTAATGCTATAGCCTTAAAAATTTTTTTTTACCTTAGTTATAGCAATAGCACTCTTATCTCTTTGTTTAATTACGAAACACTGTGATTGGGAGTTTGTATTAGGAAGACTAGAAAGAAAACCTGTCACCTTTATTTTATCAATCATTCTAAAGATCAGTGCTCTTTTAAAAAAGCCTAACATCTCTGCACTTTTATTGACTTAAATATAGTCGTCTCATCTCTAGGGGCAAGTAGAACCAAACTGAGTAAAATTCACATAATATGGGACCTCACAGTGTTCTTAACAAAATTTGTCACTTTTTGAAAGCTTTACAATTACAAAAGTTATGCAGAAGCTGCTGTGAAAGTATAATTTGTTATGTGGGATGTGGTTAATTATGGGCTGCAAGTACTAGTGCATGACAAATGATAGAGCTTTACATTATTAGGATATTTCATCTTATCTAAAACTTTAATTACTTCAGTTCCACGAGATCTATTGTGCACCAAAGCTAATCAGCAGTTCTCCTTTGAGCTTTTGAATGTTTTATTGCTGTCAGTAGTATGTCTGTGGAACTGGAAGATTTTCTTCTTGGGATTAGATATTAATTTAATTGTCTTTTAAATGGTGTCTTTAAAGAACGGAAAAAAATCTTAAAATACAAATAAATACGTGTTAAAAGATAAAATACATAGTAATGTTAAATAATTTTCTAGGCTTATATATAGTACCATTTGTTGGTTTTGAGGATGAGGACAAGGATAATGTACTGAATGTTTTGAAACTATTGGCATGGAGAAGATTCTGGGGTATTTTGTTGTTTGTTTACTAAATCACAAATGAACCACTTAAACTTGAATTAATATTAATATACAGGGGTAGGCAAAAGTAGGTTTACAGTTGTTTGTATGGAAAAATATGTAATGCAAGAATAAATAACAAGAATAAACTGCATTTCACATACAACTATAGACCTGCTTTTGCCCTACCCTGCATGCCTTACAATTACTATTCTATTCCTTTTTTTTGTTGCTTTTTTCTTTTTTTTTCTTCTCTTGAATACTCTGTCATTATAACTAAATCATATGTCTCAAATGACACCTGGAAAATAAATATTGGTATTTCCTGATCGCCAAATTTATTGGTTCTTTTGTCTTTTTTTCTCATTTTTTTTTATCTATTTAAACTTGTGGCATGCAAGCCATCTTAGCCCTTAGCACAGTAGTTGCTGTCCATTTCCTTCCTCTGCCATGGGCCTTGTGTTTTAAAATATTTGACTATCAAAATATATTTATTAATGATAAGAGCTAAAAATTAAATGTACTCACTATGTGCCCTGCACTGTTCTTAATATACTAGCTTAATTCTTACAATAATCCTGTGAGATGAATCTTAGTGTTACCTCTATTTTAAAGGTGAGGAAACAGCTCAGCTGGGCGTGGCTCAGCGGTTGAGCATTGACCTAGGATCCAGGCGATCGGGGCTCGATACCCGGTCATCAGGGCACATGCCCAGGCTGCAGCTCGATCCCCAGTCGGGGTCGTGCAGGAGGCAGCCGATCAATGACGACTTTCATCATTGATGTTTCTATCTCTCTCCCTCTCCCTTCCCCTCTGAAATCAAAGACATATTTAAAAATAAAAAAAATAATAAAAATAAAGGTGAGGAAACAGAGATGCAAATTTATATAAAAATAAAAGCTAACTTCATTTATTGAATACTTACTGTTAGGTACTATGCTAAGTGCTTTATATATATATTATCCCCCAAATTCAATAACTTTGTGAGATGAGGATGATTCTTTTCATGTATCTAGGTATAGCTAATCAGTAGATTAGCTAACTTCAAGGTCATAGTAACTGCCAGTTAAATAGCAAATGGCCTTACTCGTACCAGAAATGAGGATATACATTGGAGCCCATCTTCTTTGGGAATTAGTTTCCCTTGAAAATTTATCAAATTGTTTATACTGTAGTTTTCTCTTAACTGCGGTTTCACTTTCTGCAGTTTCAAGTAACCCAAGGTCATCTGTGGTCCTAAATAGTAAATGGAAAATTTCAGCTATTTTGAGAGACAGAGAAAAAGAAGGAGGGAAGGAGAGAGGGAAGGAAGGAGGTAGAAAGAGAGATCACATTCACATACCTTTTATTACAGTATATTGTTCTATTTTTAGTTGTTGTTAATCACTTACTGTGCCTAACTTATAAATTAAACCTTAGCATAGGTATGTATGTATGTAAGTATGGAAAAAATATAGTGTATCTAGGTAGGGTTCAGTATGATCTGCGGTTTTAGGCATCCACTGGGGATTGTGGAATGCATACCCCTCAGGTAAAGGGGGGCTGCTATAATGACAGTTTGCAGACACGGAGACACTCTATAAATCCACTTTGGCTGTTTTTTGCCCTCTAGGATTGGAATAGAATTCAGGAATCAGTATCTACAGGCCCATGAGCCAGCTCCTGATTTTATAATTATATTTATTAGAATACAGCCATGCCCATTCATTTATGAAAGTTCTGTGGCTGCTTTGTAAAAAAGCTTGCTGATCCCTGGAGTAAAATATTGTTTCTTCAGGTGAATTAACAATGCAGAGTTTGCTTGTTTTTGGGACCTGTGCAAAAATATATAAGGACCATGTGATACATTCTTGCTTTATGAGACATGTAGGAACTAAGAGCAAATGAGAACATTACATGTTCTCTAAATCAGTCTTAGGTGACTCCCATAGAATTTTAAAAATTCATATTGTGGTACGCTTTGATTACTTTTTAAAAAGTAATGTTTTGATACCTAGGTTGCAGGTTTCATCCATGGTTGGAGCACATACTAGAGGCAACAAATTGGTGTTTCTCTCTCACATTGATGTTTCTCTCTCAAAACAAGAAAATACATCCTCGGGTGAAGATAGAAAAAAAAGTAATGTTTTATGTTAATAATTAGGAAACTCCTATTAAGTTCGTTCTCCTGCCCTAATGCTTTATTTTTATTTTAGTTTATTTTTATGTTCTTGAAAAACAACTTTTGTCCGTTATTCTTAAAAATTGCTTACTTTTTGATAATTTTTTTTAATTCTCACCTCAGGACATGTTTTTAATTTGAGAGAGAGAGGGGAAAGGAGAGACAGAGAGGATGCGGGGGGGAGTCAGTTGCCTCCCATACCCGACCGGAGATTGAACCCACAACCTGGGTATGTGCCCTGACCTTGAATTGAACCTGTCACTTTTTGGTGTAAGGGACAATGCTCCAACCAACTGAACCACAGTTGCCAGGGCACTTCTTTGATAATTTCTGAAAGAGCTTTCTATAAGCAGAAATTAGACTCAGATATTGTTAAATTGTTTATATAAAATGCATTAAGTATATAGTAAGATTTCACTGATCTGTTACTTCTGAAAATTCACAGCAACATACCATTTACAAGATGTTAGTATTGTTTTTTTCTCCAAGAAATTGCATACATAAAGTGTTTCCTGTTTTCAAATTTGGTGTTTATAATGTCATCATAGTTTCCAGTATTTTAGTTTTACTGTTGCTGGTTAAGTTGTTTTATGTACTGTGTTTTTAATCAATAATAATAATGTTTTGGTTGTAAACAATGATCTTTTCTTCATCATAATAATTTCATAAAAGAGAGTAATGAAATCTTTTCAAGCTTGAATATGTAGTATACTTGAAACAATATCCAAAATAAATTGTTTATCTTTAAGAAGGAAGAATATCAGTGTGATTCTCCTCCCAGATATTTAAACATAAAAATTATACTTTAAGAATTTGGATTTCCCAAAATTTTCTTAAAAACTGTGTACACATTGTGCTATATAATACTTATATAACAGTAGATGTAGTTACTGTTTTAAAAATATTTATATAATTTTTTAAAACAATAAATATATTTCATATCACCTGAAGTGAAAATTACATTAGTGTAAATTCTTTTTTCTCTTCCCATTTGTGGAGATAAAACTTGTCTGTACAATGAAAATTGCTCAATTCATCCAGCTTTTTGATTGTTTCATTTTTTTCTGTTAGAAAAATAACATAATATGAACTTAGATTTATAATTATTAGCAAACTTAACATTTAGCTGATTTACATGTGAAATAATTTATGTAAAAATAACATTTTTATGAAGACCTTGGCATACTTGTTAATTTGTTAATTTTTTAGTATTGAATTAGCTGCCAAAATGCTCATATATCTAAATAAGCAGCCTTTTAGCAACCCTGGCGCCTTACACTTGAAAGGGTCTCCAAGGCTACTTTGAAAATGAAAGTACCCTCAAAATTTGACATTCTTCTTTAGATTTTAAAGCATGTATTATTACCAGAAATTAGCTGATTCACAAATGAACTTGTGTTGACCAATAACATTCTGAAAAGGTAGATGTCATACATTCCTAGTTCCGAATCACAGCTCTCCTTTATACTGTAGAATCCCAGAGAACTTTTAAAACTTTCAGTGCCCCAGTTTTAGTTGTAAATGGCACTTACCTTGTAGGTTAAGAGGAGAAAATAAGATAATGTAAAGTGCCTTTTACATAGGTTATAGAAAACTATCTTTAAAAAACAACTTTCAGTCATTCAACTTACTTAATAAACTGAATGTTTAGATTTTCTGTCTTGCTTGCCGGTATGAAAGGCCTTTGAGTGCTTTCATAACAGCTCAACTCTTATATCCACTGCACAGTGGTCTGTCAACTCTTTTATTACCTATAGCCTTAACTGTCCCTGTAAAAGGCTGTTTAAACTTCTAATATGGAGTTACTGACTGAAAATGTATTGTTTTACTGCTTCAGGTAATTTTTCTTTTGAACTGAATAATGTCTTAACTTGGGGAACCACAGAGGTTGTATTTTAATGTAATTAATTTCCTTTGTAATTCTGTCTATTTTATGCATTAAAAATCACTATTCCAGAAAGGAGTACACAGCTTTGCAAACTGGGGTTCATGGTACTAAAAGGTTAAGAATCCTTGATGGAAGAATTTCCATTTTAGTGGACTACAGTATGATAAAGCAGTGATTGAGTGGCAAGAAAAGTCATCTATATCAGATAACCCTAAACTCTCAGATCCCTCTAGAAGCAGCTCACTTGATCAACAGGAAAGGCTAGTTTATAGCCAACTTTAAGAAAATTAAATAGTACTAACTTTGGCTTTAGCTTGTCTTCTCCATTCCTCAGATTAAAAAAAAAAATGGCTGCCACTCAGACAGAAGCAACCATGTATATTGGGAAAAAACATAAGTAGTAAAATCTCAATTGTTTAATTTTTCCAAGTTGTTGATTCTTCAACTAAGATGTGGACATAATATGTACATTACTGGGTTGTGGAAGGACTAAAGGAAAGAACTATGGACAACACATACACATAATGTCGGGTACACTGTGGGCACTGTGTGGGTATTAGTCTCTTTACTTAATACTGAAAATCCAAAATGAACCTTAATTGAATTTAGAGTTTGGCGGAGATGGGGTGGAGCTGAGGAGTATCATGGAATTGAGAAACATGGTTACTTTTCTTTCCATATTGGGTTTAGTGGTTTTGTTGATTGGGGAAAATTTCCTGAAAGAGACAGACTTTTGGTAGAAGGAAAAGTAGGTTATAGAATTTAATTGTAGAAATAGTGTGAGAGGAAAACACAGACTGAGGAGTAGGAAAAATGAATTTAGAGTTTAAACTTTGTAGAGAGGAATGAATCAAAGGGAGTGTACATGTCACTGAGCTCATGCTTTTCCTTAAGTTATCTGTTTTCAGAGCAGTGGAATTTTTCATCAGAGATAAATACGAAAAGAAGAAATACTATGATAAAAATGCTATAGCTGTTACAAATGTAAGTAAAATCTTCATCTCTCACCAATTTAAGTTTGTTAAATAGATCTTGAACTTCTAACATACAAATTTTTATTGTAAAAATATACTATATACTTTGTAAAATTTGAATATTGGAATTTTTTGTCACATGTGTTAATGAGCTCTCCTGAAGCAGAACTCTTGTTTTGTTAATCCTCATGGGAAAGTTTTTTTTCACTGATTTTTACAGAGAGTGGGAAGGGGAGTGTGGAGAGAAACATTGATGTGAGAGAGAGACATCGATCAGTTGCCTCCCACATGATCTCAGACAGGGTGAGGATCCTGCAACCCAGGTATGTGCCCTTGACTGGGAATCAAACCCGAGACCCCTTTCCATGGGCTGATGCTCTAACCACTGAGCAAAACTGGCGAGGGCTGAAGCAGCACTCTTGATTTAGAAAGGAGCATATTCTAAGAGTCTAATAACTGCCTATATGGCATTTAATTAAGTTAATTTTATGAAATTTGCAAAAAGAGAAAGCCACTAATTGAAAAAAGGGGGAGAGAAAATTATTTTACTGCATTCTGGCAATTTGTGAAAAATCAAAAAGGCCGACTTATCCTCCCCTAAGGGCTTTGTTGGATCTGTTAATTGGTTATTATCAATCCTTTTGATAACAGTTGAAACCTTACTATAGTGATCAAATACATTATATGGTATCTCTGTTTTTTTATGTGTTTTTCCCCCTGATTTTATTTTCTCATCCCAATTTATAGTTCAAGACTAATTGTCTATATTGAGGCAATCATTTTTTTCGCCCTTGATTTCTAGATTAATAAGCAAGCTTTAAGTTAGTGCATCTTATTGGTTAAGTCATCTGTCAAGCAATCGAGAGAATACTTTCATCTCATTTTAGATGCAAACTGGGTTTTTCTTTTCAGTCCATATGGAGAAGCAATAAACTAAAAAAATTAAATACTAACAAAGTAAGGATATTTTAATATGTTGCCTTTGGCTATGGAAAAAATCTTGTTAATGTTTTAATATATCGTTAATGTATATTTTGGAGCGAAGATACCCTGTGTGTAGAGTTTGGGCTGCATTTACAATGAATGCAGAAGAAATCTTTGTGAAGATTGATAAAAATTGACAATATTGAGAATTATGTTTACAATCTCCATAAAACTAAGTTTATTTATAGCATTATGGGGAAAAAAGGAATGACTTTTAAAATATAAGTAATATGTTTTCATATGATTTTTAAGAAACCCTTTTAGTATGTTTTGTAAAATATACTGCTTTACATTAAACATTCTTTTTAATATCCTAAATGTTTTTATTGAATTTATTGGGGTGACATTGGTTAATAAAATTATGTATGTTTCAGGTGTACAATTCTATAATACAACATCTTTATATTGTATTGTATGTTCACTTCCCCAAGTCAAGTCTCCTTCAATCATTATTTATACCCCCATGCCCTCTTCTGCCTCCCCCTACCCCCTAAACTTTGTGATTATATAGATATTTATAGTATTTTTTTCCTTCATGGAACAGTTTATAAATTATTTTTATGTAGTAATGTATAGGAAATGGTTTTATCTTTAAATGATAGCTGCTGTTATGGAATTTTTTTTATCCCTCTCAGGTGTAATAATGGTATTATACTTAGTTAAGAGAAATTCTTCACTCGTTAAAGATGTATGATGGAATACAATGTTTAGGATTAAGTGTCATGATATCTGTAACTCATTTTTATTTATTTTTTCTATTCATAATAATTAATGTAGTAATTAAGTTATATAAACACATCTAAAAATAACCTAGTATATAAATTATATTAATGATGAAATAAAATACTTCCTCCCACTGTCATGTATATTGCAATAACTTTATTCATAGTCTTTACATGCATCAACATCGGTGTCATCACTAGAGCCATTTTTTTGAGTTAACTCTTTTTTTAATTTTAAAAAATTTTCAGTTACAGTTGACGTACAGTATTATTAGTTTCAGGTGTACAACATAGTGATCAGACATTTATATAACTTACGAAGTGATTACCCCAATAATTCTAGTACTCATCTGACACCATACACAGTTATTGCAATATTGTTGACTTTATTCCCTCTGCTATACTTTACATCCCTGTGACTGATTTTATAACTGGCCATTTGTACATCTTAATTTGTTTCCCTTTTTCACTTATCCCTTAATCTCTCTCCTATATGGCAACCATTAAAATGTTTTCTGTATCTATGTATAACTCATTTTTATTTATTTTATTTTTTTATTTTTAAATATATCTTTATTGATTTCAGAGAGAGGAAAGGAGAGAGAGAGAGAGAGATAGAAACATCAGTGATGAGAGAGTCATTGATCGGCTGCCTTCTGCACGCCCCTGACTGGGGATCGAGCCCGCAACCCTGGAATGTACCCTGACCTGGAATCGAACCCTGATTGCCTGGATCCTAGGTCGATGCTCAACCGCTGAGCCACTCCTGGCCGGGCTATAACTCATTTTTAAATGGCTCAGTGAAACCTAGCAGCTAAGAGAGAGAGTATGTGTGTCTATAGAGAGAGAAGAAACATGGTAAACTGTTAAGGTTTGGTGAATATTAGTGAAGTTTATAGAGTTATTTGTTCTACAATTTTTTACATTTTTTGTAGGTTTGAAAATAAAAATTTTCAAGGTAAAAGATTTTATACTCTTTTTCCCCCCTCTTTTTTTTTTATTTATCTTTATTGTTGAAAGTATTACAGGTGTCCCATTCCCCTCCCAATTGACCCCCTCCCCAGGGCTTCACCCCGTTATTGACTGTGTCCATGAGTTATGCATATATGCATATAACAACTTTGGTTAATCTCTTCCCACCCTCCACCCCCCTTCCCTCTTTCCTCTGAAATATGATTGTCTGTTGCATGTGTCAATATCTCTGGATCTATTTAGTTTGTCAGATTCTTTGGTTCATTAGCTTCTTCTTAAAGAAGACCCTTCAGCTTTTCCTGTAGTGCTGGTCTGGTGGTGATGAACTCCTTTAGCTTTTTCTTACCTGTGAAGCTCTATATTTGACCTTCAATTCTAAATGATAGCTTTGCTGGGTAGAGCAATCTTGGTTGTAGTTCCATGTTTTTCATCACTTTGAATATTTCTTGCCACTCCCTTCTGCCTGGCCAAGTTTCTATTGAGAAATCAGCTGACAGTCATACGGGTGCTCCCTTGTAGGTAACTAATTTCTCTTGCTGCTTTTAAGATTCTCTCTTTGTCTTTAACCTTTGGCCTTTTAATTATGGTGTGTCTTGCTGTGGGCCTCTTTGGGTTCCTCTTCTTTGGGACCCTCTGTGCTTCCTGGACTTGTAAGTCAATTTCTTTCTCCAGGTAGGGGAAGTTTTCTGTAATTATTTTTTCAAATAGGTTTTCAATTTCTTAGTCTCTTTCATCTCCTGGCACCCCAATAATACAAATGTTGGGCCTCTTGAAGTTGTCCCAGAGGCTCCTTATACTATTTTCATATTTCTTGGTTCTTTTTGCTCTTCTGGTTGGATGTTTTTTGTTTCCTCATGTTCCAAATTGCTGATTTGATTCTCAGCGTCTTCTAGTCTACTGTTGATTCCCTATAAATTATTGTTCATTTCAGTTCCTGTAGCCTTCGTTTCAAATTGGTACTTTATTATGTTACCGATTTTTCTGTTATTTCCCTAACAGTCTGCTTAAACATCCTTATAAACAAAATTCTGAACTCTGTATCTGTTAGCTTGCTTGGATTTATTTCATTTAGTTCCTCTTCTAGTGATTTCTTCTCTTCTTTCCTTTGTGACATGTTTCTTTGCCTTCGCATTTTGGCTGCTTCCAGGTGTTTGTTCCTACGTATTAGGTAGAGCTGCTCTGTCTCCTGGAATTTGTAGAGTGGCTTTGTGTAGTAGGTGTCCTGTAGGGTCCAGTGGCTCAGCCTCCCGGGTCACCTGAGCTGGGCCTTGTAGGTGCTCCCCTTTTGGGCTGTGTACACTGTCCTGTTGTAGTTAAGCCTTGGTTGCTGTTGGCGTCCCTGGGAGAAGTTGACCCTCATGCCAGTCACTGTGAAGACCAGCTGCAACTACAGCCAAAGAGCTGCTGTGCTGGAGACACCCCTATGGAGCAGGATTCACTTCAGTGGAGCTTTGGTGTTCATTAAGTGGCCCCTTAAGTGTGTCACTCGTGGATGTGGTAGGGTTATAATCCAGCGTGGTCGAGTCTGACCACCAGGTGCACTGTCTCTGGGGCCTCCGGGGAGGTGCAAAGTCAGCCTGTGCCAGTGCCTTGCCCAGGGCCACCCAGCATGAGCTACACAGCAAACTGTAGTTGGCTGCTACTTGTGCTGGGCTTGGCGTTGTCCAGGAGAGGGCAAGCTATGAGCCAATGCAGGCTGCAATTAGTGCCAGGCCTGGGGCGGCGTATCAAGGTGTATGGGGCCCACTGCTGCTTGTTTGAGAGATTTTAGGAAAGTCCTAAGCATGAGGCTCCAGAGGCCGCTAGCATAGAAAAGCCACTGGAAATGGCCTGGATGAGCCTGCAGGTGGGGAGGGGCGGGGCCTCCGGGAATCACGGGGCGGGGCCAAGGGTGTGAGTCAGGCGCTGGTGATTCAAACATGGCGCCTGCCTGCCGGCTGTGTGCAGGGAGGACTCCCCAAAGGAGCAGTGGCCTCCGCCAGCTCTTCTGCCTGGGAGGAAGCCACCCCCCCACCTCACCGGGATTTCAGGCAGGTTAGTTCCTCCCCAAATGTCCCAGGTCCTTTCAGTCTGCTGCCTGATGCTGGGCTCAGAGGGAGCGCGTCTGAGTGAGTCCATGCGCGGGCCCTTTAAGAGGAAAGCCTGGGNTCAGCCACAGTCCCCGCTGGTTTCACAGCCCGAAGGTGTGGGGACGTGTCTTCCCGGCCCTGGAGCCCTGGGCTGGGGGCCTGCTATGGGGCTGGGACCCCTCACTTCTCTGGGAAACCCCCGCCGCCGAGGTTCCCTCCCAGATTTAACCCGAGGCACCGGGTGTGGGCCCTCAGCCGTATCT